TGTGTTAGACCACGACATGACCCTTATTGATCTTACGTATTTGCTTGATTCTGCTGAATAAGCAATGATTTGATGCACTAAAAAAGCAAATTTGATTGAAAGATCTACTCCCCAAACTTCCATGGACATTGACGATGGAAACCTTAGAAGTCCAGAAAATTCCAAGGGAAAGAGAAAGGCTAAGTCTGAGATTGTCCCGAGTATCATTCCCAAAGATTCTATATGTTTCTGTTGCTAAGAGAAGGGGCATTAGTTGTGAAGCTGTCCTGACTACCTGAAAGATCTGAGAAAAGGTAGAATCGAAAAGTTTGACTCTGCTTCAGGTAAGTATACTGTCTAACTCTATTAAGCTCCTAATTGATGATTCTTAATACATGATGTGACTAGGTTGCATTTTGATGTTTTGTAGGATCATGCAAAAGGAAGGAAGCCTAATTAAAGAGTATGTTGAATCTAGTCGCGAAGATGGATTTTAATCATATGGTTCGAAGATCGGATTTTTGAGACGCTGCTTAGGAGTTATGATAGATTGCTAGGAAATATGTAATAACATAGTTTTCATTTGTAATTGTGTTGTAAGGAAAAGTTTTTTCCGCATTTTATAAATAAATAAAATTTTGATTTTTATTTTATTACATCTCCTTACAATGGCATTTATGAAAAATTGATGTTTTGTATGTTTCTATGTTAGCAATATGAATTTGATTCTTTCGTTTGTGGTAGTGTCGAGAATTTGCCCAATAAGGAAGGATTCTCATCACCTAAGTTTCAGTTGGATAGAAACTTGGAATCATGCAACTCGTGTTATGTGATGAATGAAAACCTTTGTCTTTGGGAAATTAAGACTAATTTCTTGTTCACATTTATATGTGACTCAAGTGAAGGACTAGGGGATCGGGTACACTGGGTGTGCGTTGGTCAGGTCCACCACAAAGAGTGATAAGACTATTCACCATGATTTACTAAAGTTTAGTAAATATAGTTATACTTACAAGATTAAGTATAATTGTGAAACATTGGAAAAGTTTCAATGTATGGCAGAACAAATGAGAATAATCAAATTGGGCAGAAAGATAAAAGTTTCTCCAATCTAAAAAGATGGGAGAGTACTTTAGTATCGTGTTTATGTGTAACAACCATAAAATTCGAGCTAAATTAAAACATTTTAATTCATTCAAAACCATTAAGTTCATACATCTTGTTTTCAAAATAGTTTAAACATCAGAGTATTCCCCAAAACCATATCACATAAATCATAAAACATGAGGAGCGGTACGATCACGCCTTGGCCTTGCCACGATCTCCTAAAGTACCTGAAACAAAACACTGAACTGTAAGCCCGGAAGTTTAGTGAGTTACCCCAAAAATACCAATCACATACAACCATAATCATTACATATTGTATCACAATACAGAACAACTATGCCTCTCAAGTCTGCAGCGTGACTGGTCCGCCCTCAACAGGCCTTCAGTTCTCCTGATCCACTCTCTGAGTCTACAGTATGACTGGACCGCCCGCACCGGACCTTCAGTCTATCTGGATCTATCTGAGCCTTCGGTATGACTGGACCGCCATACGGGCCTACAATCTATCCGGACTGCTCGTATGGTATGTTGGCCTTCAGCACAAAACAGGACCGCCTCAACCCAACATCAAGCAAATAACCATGTGTACATATAACAGGAAATCACATAACAATCCATGGGCAAACAAATCGATCTAGCATATCATAAAGCATAGCATCATCCTATATACCAGGATACCGACCTAAACTAGGTCACTAACATAGCATCATCCTATATACCAGGATACCGACCTAAACCAGGTTACTGACATAATATTGTCCCAATTACCAGGACGCCGACCTAACAGATCAATAAGCACATCAACAATACAAGTACAGATATCATATATAACTATCTCACAGATCATCGATCATAGCAATCTCTCATGACCAAGGCATCGACCTAACCAGGTCACTAACATACCAATCCTAACGGATCACATGAGCATAACAACATACTCTCTATTCTGATACCATCCTAATAGATCACAACCACATGTAGCATACTGTAACCAAGATAACAACTAAAAGGGCTGACCTTGGTGCCTTAGACCCTATTGATATAGTTAGGATAACTCACCTGAAATTCCTGACTGAAAAGATAAGACCAAGCTGCTCCGGCCTCTAGCATGATCGCCGCCACTGAACCCTACCAAAGAACCAATTCCATGAATACCAATATTACCAAAGTACCCTTGGAAGTCAAATTGGTCAAAGTCCTCAGCCAAACTCAACCTTTCTGGTTGACTCTACTCGCCGAGTCACCCTGTCGACTCGCCGAGTTCCTTTACCCATAAAACTCTCATGACACAACTTAACTCGCTGGGTCGCCCCAAGACTTGCCGAGTCCAACGATCTCTGAGTCCCATCCTGTCCAACTCACTGAGTCGCCAACCCAAAACTGTAAGCCCAAAGCTTAGTGAGTTCTCCCAAAACTACCAGCACACATACAAATAACACATAAACCAAGACAGCATATTATGCTTCCAATCAACCATCGGGTTGAAATACCACAGATCTTTCAACCATCGAGTTGGAATGCAAAGATACTTTGGGTCCAGTCAACCATCAAGTTGGAATGCCAACATACTATGTGTCCAATCATCCTCGGGATGGAATACCCTCAAGCCCATTCAACCATCTGGTTGGAATCCCATGGCATGGCTTATGCACAAAGTAGTGAAGCCCATTCAACCAAATATGTGCACATATAACATATAATCATATAACAGTCTACAACCAATCAAACAGATCTACAGATCACTAAACATATCATTATCCTATATATCAGGATATCGATCTAACCGATCACCACATCACAAAAGCATACATAGCAGGATATCAAATCCAAATGATCGGTCTTGGTGCCTTCGACCCACAAGTACAGTAAAAAAAACTCACCTCACACAACTGAATCTCACTAAAAGTCTCCGACTGCTGGCTCACTAAAATCTTTACACTATCACAACATAATAATCATATAATTAATACTTGGATTACAATCCAAGATAATAATCCATTATTAGGGTAAATGACCACTTTACCCTTTCCTTAGTTGGGCCAAGACCAATGCCCAAATCTTGATCTAAAAGGCCCAATCACTAAATAACCATCCAAGGCCCATAATTGGCCCAATTTGGAAAATTGGGCCCAAGTCCTACTTAGGCCTTACCCTAGAGTCCAATCCTTCACTTGGCCCAAAACATCAACACTCAGATGGCCCAAAGAGGACCCAAGCATCCAAGCCCAAAAAGGTGGCCCAAACTTGAAGCCCAAAATCGCAAAGCCCACAAATTAAGTATGCGGGGCGTACCCAGCTGTACGTTAAGCGTACTTGCATTGAGACTTGTACACTGCTTGTACTGGCTTTTATGCCTGACTTACTTCCCTGTTAAGCCATTGTTCCCATTAAGCTCTTAATACTTTAAGATAAAGCCCTAAAATGTAGATCTGACTTCCGTGAGCTGGAATAACATGTAAAGTTGCTAACTTTACGTTCATGCATGTCTAAATAAAGCTATTAAACTTAGAAATGACTTAATAAATGGCTTAATGATTGCATGATGACTAATACCCCATAAAGTTTGCACCTTTATGCCAAGAAAGCTTCTAACAAGTTCCGATCTAAAGAAATGATCCCTTCAAATTGTCCCAAACCATCAATTCATACAAAGGACCAAAAGTATGCCAAATCAACCCATAAAGAAAACTAGACAGTGACAAGTTAAGATTTGAACTTGATACCTTAGGAAGCTTGCAATGTGATGAAGGGTTTTGGATCTTAAGTCTCCCACTAAGCTATGAACTTCACTCTCTTCTAGGTTCTTCAAAGATGGACCAAATCAACAAACATTTCTCTTTAAGAGCTCAAAGATATAAAAATGGAGGCTAAGGGGACGTTAGGGTTTTCTGGAGGTTTAGGGACAAGAAATGAGACCAACCCTAAAGGTTAATGATGAAAATATATAGGGTGCAACACCCCCATTTTAGGGTTTCTAGAAGTCATGCGTACGCCCAACGTACGCACCCAGTGTCCTGATCCTTCTCAAGCTAGTACGCTAAGCGTACCAAGTGGTACGCCCCGCGTACCGGCTTCAAGGGCTAAATTGAAACTTTGCAATAATGAAGGGCAAAAGTGAAACGTACCAAGATCAAGGTGTTGCATTATGATTATGGATGAATTCTAAAAGAATTCAAGTACAAAGGAATTCAAGTGTCCAAGATAAGACGTTACTTAGCTACTATGGTGAGTACATAGTGATGTTTTCCCAAACACTGGAACACGTCTTGATTATTGTTTTGCATGAATGCTTGAGTTACTATATACTTAGTTGATTGCTTGAATGATGTAGCGATGTATGAAATCCTCAATGATGTAGTGGGGTATAAAATCCCTAACAGAGCATGTTCATTGATTGGAATTGTCTATACATTATGAGGCACTCCTGGATTCCCTTTGCGAAGTGATGCCCTATGTCTATGTGCGAATCCCAAATTATAAGATTAAAACGGATCCAAGAGGTCCATGACTCGCCATATTGTGGGGCTAGGGGTATAAAACCCCCATGAGTGATGCTAAGGGTATGAACTCCCAATTGTGTGTTCTAGTTAGAACTTTTGTGTAAATGGTATTGTTGAGTGGATTGTTTTGTGTAAAACCTATTAAAGAGATTTATCATGGTTAGCACCAAATCAAGACAAATTTTCCAAGTGAGGATATTGACTTTCTTTGGAACTCATCTATTCCACCTCATCGACACATTATCCACTGCAAGATTAGAACCATCAACATTGTTCCTACTTCCTAGTAGCTTTGATCAGGAATCCACGACCACTTATCCGGATTATGAGAAAAAGTGATCATGTTCAAAAAAAGAAAAAAGGCCGACACGTTCAAAAAAAAAAAAAAATGTGACAACTGACAAGAAGAGTATTGGTTGTCATACAAATTAAATGTAAATGTTGAAAAATAGGTCCCTCTCTGTAAACCTTTTTGACTCTTGAACATATTCCTGTCTTCTGTAAATGCATTTGGTGATGCTTTTTCTGATTCTTCCAACACAAAATGACCAATCCCAAGACTTTCTTGACATTAAAGTAAAGTAGCCGTCTAAAATGGGGCAAAGTAGCTTTACTTTAATCCATCTTTTAGACAGAAACAATCAAATTTCACTTGCCTCCTCATCTCAAAGACTCTGAACATGGGAAAAATTTGGGTAGAAATATGCTTGATTTCTGCTAGGGGACTCACAAGAACTTCAGCACTATGGAAGCTCCAATGGTTTGCAGTTGGGTGGATTGATCCCGACAACAAGTATTGCACCAAAGTAGATGCTTCCGGGAATGCAAATCCCACATGGAAAACCAAGTTTTCTGCTTTGATTGATAACTCGGATTCAAGATTCGAAGATTTGGCCCTGAATGTTGAAGTTTATAGCAGAGATCCTGTGTTTCTGAAAGAAAAACTTCAAGGGACTGCAAGTGTTGGGTTGAAAGAGTTTCTTGATAAGCATAAGAACAATTCTGATGAATTGAGGCGTGTTGAAGAAGTCGGAAGTTTTCAATTGAGGAAGAAGAATTCGAATAAACCGCAAGGATTTGTTGATGTTTCAATTCGAATTTCACAAGAGATTGACGGGGGTAGTAACTATGAAGGTAAGTTTGTAGATTACATCAATATGTTGAGGGTATTTTGGTAATTTAATTATGATCATCGATTTGCACAGGCGATGAGGTGGGTATCAAGCTTAGGGTTCGTGACGATGGCGTGAACTTGCCATCGCGAATCGGGGAAAACCATCTGCAGACCCAGTTGCCGCCAGGACCAAGCTACCACCAACCACCACCGCCGAATTATCCTTCAGCGGGAGGATTCAACCTTCAACCACCACGTATGCCCTCGCTAGGACCAAGCTACCACCACCACCAACAACCGCCACTGCCGCCGTCGCAGCCTTATAATGCTGGCTATATGCCACAATCGTCTATAGATAACTTACCAGCAAGTTACATCAATATGCCATCGTCATCGGGAGCAAGACCTGGACCAAGGGTTGGACCTGGTTTTGGGATGGGGTTGGGTGCAGGAGCGTTGGCAGCTGGTGCAGTCATTTTTGGGGACGATTTCGTTTCAGGGTTTGATCTTCCTACCGGTTTCACAATATCAACTGATCCTCCTTTCTAACGAAAGTATTTCCATCATGTTATCCTCTTCATGTAATCAATTGGACGTATTTACTAAAAAATCTCAGATTCGTGTTTATATATACATGAATGCGGTTAACATCATATTGCTTGTCCTAATAGAGTAATTTGATGAGTTCTTAAAGAACTCGATTGGGGAAATTAATTCGGTTGAAATCCGGGTTTGAAGGAACAGGCTAGACCAAATTTTCGTTTTTTCACTTTTGGAACCCAAGTTTTAAAAAAATTGCATTTAACCACGATAGAATCAAGTGACCAGTGATGGTTGAAGTGCCTTCAAAGATTCAAGCTTTTGGTTTTGACTTTTGAGTAAAGGTTCGTATACAAGTTTGCTAAAAACCAATATATATTTTATATTTAATTTTAGGGAAAATACATGTAATAATAAAAAAATGAGAGGTATTTTCAAAATATAGACACAAAAATGGATATTTTTTGATATAGACATGCATTCCACGGAATGGTAAAATCGTAAATAAATAAGTGTATTTACAAAAAAAAAAACTCAATAACCATTCCGCAGAGCTACCTCCGAGGAATAGATTTTTTTTTTCCACATCGATTCTTCGGGGTTTATATTTATTCTCCAACTAATTATTTCAAGAAAAGATTATCATACTATCATAATCTTTTCTTAAAAATAATTAGTTGTGGAATTAATATAAACCACCGAAGAATCGATGTGAAAGAAAAAAAAAATTAAAGATCCATTTACGGTTTTGCCATTCCGCGGAGCTACAGTAGATTCCGCGGAGCTCCGCAGAACTACCTCCACGTAATGCATGTCTATATCTGAAAATCCAATTTTTCGTGTCTATATTTTGAAAATACCCCCCATTTTTTAACTATTGCCGGTATTTTCCCTTAATTTTATCCTTTTAAAAATAGGGAAATTTCCAAAAAAAATCCTAAAATTTCGGGCCAGTTTATGATTTAGTCCTAAATTAAATTTCATTAATGAAAAAGGACAGGAAACCGGCTATTGTAATCACTTTTACCTATTTTTACCTTTTCAGCAGGTTACTGCTGAGGTGGAGTGCCAAGTGTATTTCTAGGCTTTGGTGGCATCTGAGGTGGCATCTTCTTCCTATACAAAGTAAAAAGATCAGATTTTTTTTTGGGAAAAGAGGCGGAGGGGCACTCGAACCCTTGACCTCCCATTCACATTAAACCTGGTATCCTCCCTTTATCATCTCTAGCTTACTTAAAACCATAATTTATAAATGAACCAGCTAAATAAGGAGTTGAAATCGAAGGATTTGGATGAGGTGAAACAAATGAAAATGGAATCTCACGATGGTTGTGAAGTGATCGAGCTTGGGAATATGTTCACCATACAAGTTTCTGACCACCCACAAGAAACATCGAGCTTCATCTTCTTCTTTAAAGACCAGTGGTTCCCTGTGGTGGAACTGTTATTTGGAACAATACGTTACCAATAAAACAAAATCGTCTGATCTATGTATGATTCGAACTCGAATTGATTGAAGTCTCCTTCGATTTAAATGAGTTACGAAGAATTTTCTGTACTTCATTCTTCTCTCCCTTAAACGACGCCACTATGCTAATGTTTCCAATCTTAATATCCCCCATGATATCGACAGATCATCTCGCCATTCCAAACGTTCGCGTTTGGGAATCTTGAGATTTTTCTGATTTGAGTGATGGAGGAAAGAAATGGGGAAATGAAAAAAATCTGTTAGGTTTTATGGTGAAGTAGATTAGATAATCATATGTGATTCCTATGTTGACTGAATAGAATCTCCATGAGTAGAAGATGTAAGGTTGTGGGTTTGGTTGAGAGATAAATGATAACAAGAAGTTGCAAGTTCGTCTGTCTATACATATGGAGGAAGACGAAGGTTATAAGGATTAATAAGTAAATTTAAAGAAAATATAACAATAGCTACTTCTAGTTCACATGGTAAGTTGTTTGTTTTATAAGCGGGAGGTCAAGGGTTCGAGGCCCCTTACCCCTTTTTTTCCCCAAAAAAATATGATTTTTTAGTTTGTATAGGAAGGGCATGCCAACTCAGATGCCACCTCAACTAAGAAGTACACTTTGCACTCCACCTAAGAAGTTACTTGCTGAAAACGGTAAAAGGGATAAATTTGAATCACAAACACACCCGATTTCAGAATTTACATATAAAAAAAAAAGATGAATGGACAGAAGAACATGAATCTGAAAGATTTATTCTAAAAAAAAGTTGTTCTTGAGCAAAGAAAATGAAACCAAGAACCACAAACACACCCGATTTCAAAATTTACAAAAAATACACCTTAAACAACCACAAACATGAAGTCAAGAACCACAAAGAACATGAAAGATATACCCCTTTTCGTCTCTGTATCTAAGTCAAAATTTATTTCCCTTCATCCTTTCTTCATTCATACAAACACACCCCAATCTCAGTTTTGATTCAAATTTAGGGTTTCGATCGGGCTCTCATCTATTTTTATATTTCTTGGATAACTGGTTTGGCCCTCCTTTTCTAATCGATCACAATCCTTCACTCTATTCGAATTTGATGTTGCAGATCTATCATTTCTGGAACTGAAGCTTTATCAAGAAAACAATGTGTGTATGTGTGTGTTGTGTTCTTGGCTCACAAGAAGCCTTTGTTCCTCTGCCACCAGAATTTCCAAATCCCCTTTGATCTGTTACCGATTTGACAGGGGAATGAACATAAAATATAGAGTTTAACCTTATTGCACCATCGATGGTGAGGGGATGATCACAGTGACGAAGATATAAGTGTTTCTTGGAAGAAAAACTTAAGAAACAACCATCGTCTTCCGCATCCATTACAATCTTCTGGTAATCCAACGACAAGGAAATCTCCCACGATGTCCCATTCCACCGTCATCCCAAAAAGGAAGGAAACCAATGACAACCTGCAAGTATTTCGAGGGTTGGTGAGGGATAATTTCGTGGCTACAAACCCTTTTATTAGTTCTTCGATTGTGAGATCGGGTGAGGAAGAAGATAGGGTCAGGAAAACGAGAGGATATTGGGTGTTATTTATTTCCAGATTTTTAGATATGAAAGAGAAGATGAAGTTCAACCACTAGAGATTGATCGAGTGTCCAAATTGTGTGTGTTCTTGAGAGAGAGGGAGAGAGAGAGAGAGAGAGAGAGAGAGAGAGGGATTTTATTTTTTATTTTTAATTATTTAAATACAAAAATAAATAAAGAAAATAGAAAAAAGAAATGAAAAGGGTAAAATCGACTTTTCAAATGTACCAAGGACCAAAAACCCAGAAAAACTTCGATTTTGGACCTTCCATGCAAGGTGGAAACTTTTTGTATCCTATCCAAAGTTTTCGGAATACCACAAGGACCAATCTTGCAGTTTTGTCCCATTTTAAGTACGAAAAAATAAAATCTTATGACCATATACACCTATGATATGTACATCACAAAGGGACTAATATGTGAGCCGCGAGTTCTGCCTAATTCAAAATGATTGGACGAAGTTGTGAAATATTTATTATGTTGAATTCCAAAATAATTGTGATGTGAGTGCTATTCATGTAGACATAAGAGGCAAATTCTAGAATATTGGATGTCACTATGGATGCCGTATGCCAGATATACATAAGTAACAAATTATGTAACATTTGATGCCGTTATAGATGTACCAAAAGGCCATGAGATTGATGACTAACATATTTGGTTGAAATTTCACTCTAATAATGTAAATTATCTAACAATAATCATATTTCAAATCAACTTTGCAAGCACATGAATCCAATTTTTTTAAAGAAATAAAAAAATATGATTAAAAAAGATTAAAAGAGAAAAACATGTTGCATTTTTTTAAGAAAAAATTTATCCGTCAATTTCAAATTGATCAAAAAGGAAAACAAATTTTTTTATTTTTATTTTTCTTTCATTCCGACTCGATAAACTTACATTTTCATTTTTCTCCTCCATCTCCTCTGACGCCCTGTGGGTTCCTTTTGACTATATCGAAAGAAATGGAAGCTTTGTTATGCAGGAAGCATGGTGACCCAACAACCTAACCGGATTCATCGGAAAACACCGCTCTCACTGTCTCAACATCTCACCCTATTCCCAAACTCACTTCTCCAGCTTCAATCGGAGTTCGAATCAAGTCCACCAGCTTGAATTATGCCAACTACCTTCCAGTCCTCGGTAAGTATCAAGAAAAATTTGCCTTGCCTTTTGTTCCTAGATCTCATTACTCCGGTGTTGTCGAATCCATCGGTCCTAAAGTCACCAAGTTCAAAGTCGGCGATCTTGTTTGTTCCTTCGTCGGTGTCGGCTCTTTCGCCCAATTTATCATTGCCGAAGAGAAGGATTTGTGAGTAATCGTTTCATATTTCTGGATACGAAGCTTGATTATTCCCTGAATTTTTCACTAAACATTTCCCTCAATTGAAGGTTTGGAGTTCCTGGTGGGTGTGATATGGTGGCTGCCGGCACACTTCGAGTTGCGTACGGAACATCTTATGTGGCACTGGTTCATAGGGCCAATCTCACGTACACATTTCATATATTCTTTCAATTCACATCTATTATATGAAACGTATCTACAAGATTACGCGATATCGTTGCTCAATTTCAAACAATCCAAGAATTCAAAATTTGATATCCTTTCCATAATCATTGTTGAAAGTTATGTATAAATCATGTGCTTCTGTTCGTACATTATGTTTTCTTCAGGCTTTTTGCAGCATCACGTTTGTAACAACCCGATATTTCAAGTAAACATAATATAATACCAGTCAAAATTTAACTTTTCTAAAATCTTATTTGGGCTGAATAAAGTGGTAGAAATCGTATCAAGGTTTTCGAAAATATAAAGAATACTAAAATCCGAGTTATAACGAAGAAGTTATGACCAATCAAAGATCTGCGACAAAGCCGGTAAAACACTGTTAATTGTAAAACGCGAAATTTCAATAAAATACTTTTTAGCCTTAGGTATCTAAATGAAAGTCGTAGTAGATATCATTAAACCGTAAACATATATAAAAAAGAACGTCCAAATCTGATTTCGCATGAGAAAGTTATGATTTTTCTGAGTTTCGGATATAGCAGTAGACAACTAAAAACTCGAAATAGAGATCGAGCGACTTTTAGCCAACGCAACCTAAACGAGAATCGAAGCTCTCGTCAATAGAAGTACAATGGTACAAAGACAGACGAAAATGGACGTCAGATGAAGAAGTTATGGAATTTTAACGGAATTTTCTAGTCCCGGCCTGTTAAAAATATAATATTAAAAGTAAATTCAAAATTAGCTACAAAGTCTAAACGAAAGTTGTAGAGCATAATCTCACCTACGTGTGGATATAAAGAACGTAAAAAACGGAGCTCATATGCGTAATATACAAATTTCTGAAGTTCGGGGCACAAATTTCGACACTGTGTCAGAGTTCATGACGTGAACATAGGGTTCACGACGTGAACTCAGAGATGTGACACCTTCCAGAGCAAGTGGCTGATGACAAACGCCATGACCTGAGCGGGACCAAGGTCACAACGTGAACCCTAAATTCCCACCCTATATCCGTGTCAAGCATCCCGAGACTACCCTGAAGCCCCGGTAACACCTCTAACACACGACGCAAGTCCCGAAGTTTCCGAGAAACTTGTTTCTTTCCATTCGAAGTGTTGTCCGAGTTAAACATCATCTTCTTCAAACCGTCACTTTTACCAAGTGAGTTCATACCCCTACAAACACACTTTAAATGTTTTTTAAATGATTTTTAAACACTTTTAGGGGGAATACAAGTAATCACACGACGAAAATCGGGTGAAAACATCAACCTTTTGCTATACTTTTCATTATATAATCAATCACATGTGATTTATAACTATAGAACCAATGATGTTATTTTTATTTACTAAAAGGTTTTTCAACATATTACTCGTGAACTCGTTGTTAGCAAATCATATGTGAGACAACGGCTTTGTTTAGTCTTAAACGAAAGTCCCCCACTTATAGCCAGAGTCTCCTAGAGGGAGAGCGTGAGTTTGTGTATAGATCTATACGGGACTGACAATCTCGTGCCCTAATTGTTAGCTGCGGTTGGAACGCAAGTTCTGGGGTGAAAAATGTCATTAACTATCTGGATATCGGTCATATTAGTATGGTTATAAGAACTCACACGCGGAAACAATGACTCATGCACGTAGTAATACACAACTCAATCAAGCTCAAGGAGTAATAACTATATGATTACTTCGTATTTACATCGGGTTTATATATGAATTTTATCCGATAGACAGTGGAATGTGTGACTTCCGCCTCATTTCCTGTCCTTGTTTGGTTGTGGATTTAGGGCAGAATCAACCAATCGACTGCAGGTTCAGATTTTAGTTATATATAACTTGTAGGAACTAAGTAATAATGATTGGGATTATCATGAACACATTCAGATTTCAGGATAAATACATCTTCAACTAGTTTTAATTGATAATAAAACTACAAGTTATCAAACTAAGTATGACATATTTACTTACACTTATGGTGTCGGAGTATTTAGACTACATCTCAGCTTTCAAGAAAATATAGGACTTTCCGGGTTAAACACTATCACTTTACAAGTAAACAGTTTTACAAACTCGTTCTTAGGGAAAATGTAGGATTTCCCGGATCTAGTACATTCATTCACAACAAATCATATCTCATTTTATAGAAAATATCGGATTTTTTGGAAAACATATACAATAAGTTTACATATTGATGTGATCACCTAGTGGTATGTTTGGGTTATATACAATGAAGATTCGATAGACAGTGGGATGTGTGATTTCCTCCTCATTTCCTATCCTTGTTTGGTTGTGGGCTTAGGGCAGATCCACCCATTCAACTGTCCGTTTGATCTTTGATTATATATATAAATCGTATGCACTAAGTAATCATGGTAGGAATTAGTATTGGGCACCTTTTGTATGCAAATTCAAAGCATCACACATCACTCTTTAAGCGCAAGAAACATACAAAGTTAGTATTAAGGTATAAGGCTACATCTCATATTATTAAGAAAATATAGGATTTTTCTGTAGTAATACACGAATACTTTCAAGGATCAAAGGACTCACTTTCTAAAACAATGTACTTATGAGCTCACCAACTTAGATGTTGATACACTTTCCAAATCACTTGCATTCTCAGGAAACTAGTAAACATGTACTCGTACAAGTTTCGAGAAGACGGAGCACAGTAGGTTCAAGTCTTTGTTTTGTTATCTACTTTTGAAATCTATCAATCTATGTTATGTATACAATGTAAACACTTTATTATCAATACAATGTTTTGTTGTTGCTTTGATTACTATTTTACATTTGTTGTGATACTGTACATGACGTCATCCGCCCCTGAATGTTTATGCCATTCAGGTTTGGGGTGTGAAAGATTGGTATCAGAGCATTGTTTATAGTGAACTAAGTATATCAACCTATAAAAGATATACAATTATAAATACAATGGGGCCATAGTTCTCTAACTAAAAGTATACTTATAAATATAACAATATTATCAAGAAGTATACATAAATACATAAATATATACTAGAACAAGTATCACAAGTAGAACAAAATAAAAGTATTTAGATGTTGGACACAACAGTTAAACCTGAGCAGTTATGTAATCATATCTGGGGTAAATATAGCCTGATCAACTATATTTATTTGAGATACAATGAACATGTGTTTGGGAGTGATAGTGGTGTTGCAATGAGCCTAAAACTTACCAAACCCTATATACAAAGAATTTATAGAACGAAACATAAAGTAAAATACTATAGGAGTATTTTAGGATGTTATTCAATAACAAGTCTAAAAGGGTACCGTAACAAGAAACTTAAGAAGCAAACACAAAACAAAAATACTATAGGAGTATTTTGGATAACTATAAATAACTTATGTGAAAATTTAAAGACCCTTACCGATAGGTGTATAATTGTTGAGTGTATACTTCCAAAGGTTATATATAATAAAGATCTTATAGACTTAGAATGTGTGGTTTCGCTTTACTCCATTTTCCTTGTTTGGATGTGGATTTAGAGTAGTATCACGTATTCGAATGTCTCTTAGATCCGAGTTATATATAATTTGCATACACTATGTGCTTATAGAAGGACCTAGTGAGGATCACAATTTGATAATTGTTACTAGAAATAGTGTAATTAGTCTCATGGATTCTTTAGACATCCCTAATCTCACACGAACAACATAGTTAGATATAACCACTCCATTACATCGGTCAACAAATAGGCCAAGGAAGATCAAAAAGAGATTCATAAGGAGAATTCCGAGAAATAAACAGACGAGGATCAAAGAAATAGAGAAATCATCAAGGACCTTTAACCTATCAAGAGCAGATGTGAGAAGCTCGCTCAAACATTCAGATTCAAACTCTCCACTATGAAGTAATGGAGATCGATGTCAAAACTCGAAGCATGACATAACGGAGATTCAACTTGCCTAATAAGATCAAGGACATCATATATATACCAAGAGATAAAAAAAATCATTACCCCCAAGAATAGGACAGAGAACAGAGGAAACCACTTGTGAGGCATGCGAAGTGGTAAGTGTGACTAGGGATTACAATGGGTACGGGTATACCGGGTTTCGTTTTCCCCATCCCCATACCCGACCCTATCCCCATCGGGGATTAAAAATCTATCCCCATCCCCATCCCCAACGGGGATCAGGGATCCCTAATGGGTAATCGGGGATTTTTACCCGTTACAAAGTTTTGAACTTTTATGAAAAAAAAAATCATAATTATATATTAACCAACAAAACAAAAACTAATACAATTCATATAGAGCACTATAATCACTAAATGTCTTCAAAAACAAACAATAACATTCAAGCTTACAAATAAAACCATTTTTTTTTGCAAAAAAAGACATAAAATGTCTTTACAAAATTATACGTTTGATTGTTAAAAAACCTTACTTTGTCTACTAAACTTTTGGTTATCCATTATTAAAAAAAGCATAAATAATATTATATATATATATATATATATATATATATATATATATATATATATATATATATATATATATATATATATATATATATATATATATATATATATATATATCGGGTACCCATCGGGGCCGGTTCCGGGTACAAGTATGGGTACCCGATAAGTAGAACCATCCCCATACCCATCCCCGCTTTTTGCATTCCGGTAATACCCATCCCCGTACCCGTCCCCGGTCAACTCGGGGATTTACCCAGTCAACTCGGGGATTTACCCAGTCAACTCGGGTTAGGGTTTAGGGTACCCATCGGGTACGGTTTTTTTGCTATCTCTAAGTGTGACATCCCCATTTTCACGGCCATAAAAGACCGATTTTGTTTATGCTTTATGAAAATCAGAGTACCTCTTTTAATAAAAATGTTGCGGAATTTGTTCCTAGAAAAACACGATAAATACGTTATCAAATCATTTCCGAAGAAACGTATTTTATTTATTTTAAAATGTTTGGGATGTCATCGTCAATACAGGAACATAAGCATAAACAGAACTTACATTCATTTACACTAGTGATC